TGACAGCTGGGTGATGTTAAACTACAATTCCACCAATGTTTTGCCAAATGTTGCATTGGTTAATCACAGAGATGTAAATGAACCTATTCAGTTTGATGTGAAATGGTTCATTGTAGAGAAACCTACAGACTCAGATTTCTTTACAGTGGTGGTGATAGGAACCAGGCGTCACCATGTCTACAACACGAATATAGACATTTTATTTACTATACAAAACCACCAGTGAACCTCCACGTGTCTTCTAAGTTTTTCATATGTAATGCTAATGATAGTAAACTAGCAGAAAATACGAAAAAAAGTATGTATTCTTTGGTGACTATTTTGCCCTGCATGTACTCCTCCACCAAGAATGCATTTAAAATACATAATTCAGACCAGAATCTTTTTAAAACACTGTCATAAAACAGTGAGTGTCTTTACATGCACTTAATAATCCGATAACTGCAGAAAATCAGATGTTGTCAGTAATCCGATCAACGCATTTATATACACTTGAGTAATCAGATAATGGGGAAACTCCAGGTCTACATGAGTCAGACAGTGATCCGATTTCTGCTTTACAACCAGCCAATAAACTCACAGAAGAAGACGTGACGTAAACGTAATGTAAAACTCAAACCTCATGCACCGGTGTTTATTTTTTTATTTTTTTTTATTTATTTATTTATTTTTTTAATATCGCACCACTTTACCTGAAAATATGAACATATCTGTCATCTAGAAGATGAATATTAAAATCCTTCATTTCATCGAGAATGTACTCCAAAAGTGTTTTGCTGCGTCTCCACACATGCGCAGACTCAGAAATCCGAAAGAAATCAGAGTAAGAGTTTACATGCACTTAGGAATCTGATTACTGAGCTAAAATCCAGCCTCTTTATCAGATTTCTTACTCAGTTTTCTAGATCAGAGTATGGTGTGTGTGTGTGTGTGTGTGTGTGTGTGTGTGTGTATGTGACCATTTGAATAATCAGATAACTGCAGAAATCCAATTATGATTGGATTATCAAGTGCATGTAAACACAATCAATGTCCCAGACAGTCAGGCAGTGTATTCATAATCATTTCATTTAATAACTCTCTGTGAGGGAGCTTTTAGAGCCGTAATGTGGTAAGTTTCTCTAGAATGGAGCATTTCACATCAGCCCACTCAGAATGACTTTATTGTAGCCATTTAATTAAGCAGAAATGTTGAAAAATTGGCTTCTTTTATTGGCTGAGGGGTGGGAGAGTCAGGACAACCTTCAGGTGGGCCAAATCAAATGTCTTACTTTGGGCATCCCTGCTCTAAGGCAACGCTTCACTTTCCTCTATAGGCTTTGCTCGGCCTCCGTTTCCTTTCTGGAGTGAGCTTTCTGTCTAATTAACTTTTACAACACTGCGTAAGGTTCCCTTTGGTGTAATTGTAGGAGAAGAAAACAGATTAAAACGGCCCAATCAAAACAAGCCTTGTCAGAGATTCAGGAAGCATGGGCTCATTGACTTCACTAACACTTTAGACTGATGCAAATACATGGCTATTTCTGCTGTTTAGCCTGCTCTTCTTAAAAATCGGATTTATCTGTGCAGTTTTTGCCTTTATTTTGATTTAGATTTGTTATTTTTAAACAAGAAAACTCAGAAAAAAATCACAGCAAAAATACGCTGCAAAAAAGGTATCTTGTCAAGTAATATGATCTGAAATCTAGTTTATAAATCTAATATTTCTCCTGTTGAGATTGTTGTAAACTTAATTTTAGATTTCTTAACTTATTCCCAAATATGTTTTACTTGTTTTGTGATTTTATTAAGTGAAATTCTCACTATATTGGCAGATAATGTTGCTTGTTTTAAGAAATGTGCTTAAAACCAGCAAAATTATCTGCCACTATAGTGAGAATTTTACTCAATAAAATGTCTAGAAAAAAGCCAGATAATATTATAATAAATGCAAAACATCTCAATATAAGAAATATTAGATAGATAGATTAGAATTAAGATCATTTCACTTGACAAGATACTATTTTTTGCAGTGTTATAACAATAAATAAAGGAAAGGAAGCCTCGCTCATCTTTTACATAGTGAACATGCTGTCCATTTCACTATGGACAGCATGGATATCCACACACTGTGACACCACTGGCAGTAGATTTACAGAAAAAATTAAAAAGGTAACATTTTCAAATTCTCAAATTGGATCGCCATCGAGATGATTGGTTCCACAAAGTTAATGCAAACTTTAATATCATCAAATTCTATTATATTTTTGGAAAATATCAAGATATTAAGTTTGATCAGTAACACTTAGCTCTACTCTGCTGGGATTTTAGCATATTGTTGCTGTCGTGACAAAATTTCGTATCTTCAAAACGGTGAATTTACAGGAGAAGGAAAAAACATCCTTTGAATGAAAGTTTATGGAAGAAGTATTTTTTGAGCATTTCTGTTGGTCCATTCTTCATGAAACTTTAAAGCACTGTCAAGGGCAGCTGTCATTTTAACATCTTGTCCAAAAAAAACAAAAATGAATATTTTTTTTTTCCGATTTTGTATGGAGGCTGATGCCCCCCCTTAGTTTTTTGAACTGAAGGTCTCCGTTTGTAGTCAGTTTGGCTATCAGAGTTGGATTTTTAATGCTGGCTTCATTAAAAACCTTGACGTTCTAACCTGCTTGATTATATGCATGACTTGCTCACCATTTGCACGAGTTAAAAACTGATTTTATTGGATAAGGGGAAAGACAGAATTGCCCCTGGAATAGTCATAGATCTCTATCGCTCTTTCTCTCCCCTGTTTATGGTTTAATGCAATGGCTCACAAAGAGCTGCCCACACATAAACACACACACACACACACACACTCACACACACTCTCGTTTTTCAGAGTAGGAAAACACACGCAGCTCTCTTGCCGTTAGCCAAACGCACACACATACACAGTAGCTAAGAGGCAGGCAGTGAAATAGCTGGGTTGTGACCCACGCCTCCACGTGTGTACAGTCGCAGCAGCGTTCTGCAGGCAGGTTGCGTAACACAGGTCATGTGGGCACCGCCACCCACCACGCCCTCAGCAGCTGGGAATGCTGTCATCAGTGAATTAACCCTTCGATTATTTCTCCCTCAGCACTGAATGGATCAGATTTTCCAGAGTTGAGAGTTTTACTCTAGCTTTAGTCAATTTTCATTCAAGAATAGTCAATTACATTCAAGAATAAGCATCGGAATTCCAAACTCTGGAATAGAAATGGTCTAGAATTACTGTACGTTAAAGTTAAGAACCTTCTTCTTTCTGACTTTGCTTTGCTTTTGTTTTCCTTCTGGCTGTTAAATTCTAGAATGACTGTCAGAATTCTAGAACATAGAATGGACCAACAGAAAAGGTCCAGAATTACTTTGTTTCAGTATATTTTTTTTTTACCTTTTTCTTTCTGGCATTGCACAGTTGAATGATTATCTAGAATTGCATCTAGATCCTAGAATTGTAGAACCTAGAATGGACCAAAAGAAATAGTCCAGAATTACTTTGTTTTAGTACTTTTTTCCTTCTGACTTTCTCTCCTTTTTTTTCTGGCATTGCACAGTTGAATGACCATCTAGAATTGCAGAATTCTAAATCCTAAAATTGTAGAACCTAGAGTGGACCAATAGAAATGGTCCAGATTTACTTCATTACAGTATGTTAAATTTAATATAACTGGTTTTAATTCTGACTTTCTTTCCTTCTGTGTTCCTTTTGGCTTTACACAGTTCATAGAATGAGCAATTACAGTCTAGAATGACGGTCAGAATTTCAGAACCTGGAATGTATCGATTGAAATGGTCCAGAATTACTTCATTACAGTATGTTAAATTTCATATAGCTTGTTTTAATTGTGACTTTCTTTCTTTCTATATTCCTTCTGGCTTTACACCGTTCATAGAATGAGCTACTACAGTCTAGAATGACCGTCAGGATTCTAGAACCTAGAATGTGCCGATATGAATGGTCCAGAATTACTTTAGTACAGTAGATTAAAGTTGATAACGTTTTTCTTTCCCTCTTTTTTTCTTGTTTTACACAATTCTAGAAACCAGAATGGACCTCTAGCAATTGTCCAGAATTACTTGGAATAAAATTCCATTACATTGACATACTGTAAAGTTTCCTTCTGGCTTACTCACTTCTAAGAATGAGGTACCAGACTGTAGAAAGAGAAGAACAAAAATACTCAACTTTAAATTTAAGGAAATTTTATTTTAAGTAATTTTAGGCTGTGGTTAGTTGTTCATTCTTGCGCTCATTCTAGAATATTAAAGCTTATAATTGGAATTGACTGCTGCCATTGTTACATCACATGTATACGTTCTGGAATTCTGACATAATTCAAGATTTTTAGATCTTTGGAACAGGGTGAAAAAAATGTATATATAATTTAGAATTCTAGAATTTTCACCACTTTCCGAAAATCTCCCCAACAGTAAAAGTCCTCTGTTGCCAAAACAAAGCATGATCAACAGCAAATCAAAGCCAGAGGGAACAAGGTCAAGCTCTTAAAACCTAACAAAGCACAGCTGGCTGGTCCTCACTCAGATTTAGGTGATACTGAAATGACATCCTCCATCCCTCGAGCTTTTTAAATCTGGATTTCCCGACGCTGAGCTCATCCCATATATATATAAAGTGGTGTGTGATACTGGTCAGTTGATCCAGACTGTTAATCCTACAGGCTGTGCTTTCCTCCTCCCACATTGTGCGCTGTGCTGCTGTGACCTGGAGCTGTGCGATTATTTCAGCATTTCTTATCATATTGAATAATGTTTCTGTTGTATTGAACACTGTAATATGGCTGAGATGTGGGAATTGGGGACCGTGGTCTAAAATCCATGCACTTACTATGCTGGTATTTTAAGAGGGGAAGTGGTACCTCAGATGGAATAGTATGCAGGTTTCAGGTTCCCACCATCATAAGTGTGCACTTAAAATGAAATTATTCATCTCTACTACTCTCTCTCTTTCTTTCTCCCTCTCTCTCTCCTCCCAGACGGGCACATTTACGGCTATGTTTGGAACGCTTGAAATCCCTGGTGCCCCTGGGACCAGACTCCAACAGGCACACCACCCTCAGCCTACTAATGAAGGCCAAGGAACACATCAAGGTGTGTATGAGTGGTTTATTTTGACTGATGAAGATTAAAGTCACTAAACAGCCGCAGAAGAACAATATGGGCTTTTCAGCCTTGAAGAAATTGGTTTATTTGTTTAGTTCTTTAGTTATTTAGGTATTAACACTGGCTGGCCTATCACAATTATTACATAATCACCTGATGGCAATTATTTGAGCTGATCCCATTTGTGTTCCACAGATCTTACGCAACAGTAGTGGTAACACTTTCTATGAATGTCACGTTTTTAAGCATCTATACACACATTCATGACGTTAGAATGCATTCATAAGGCTTTATAAACACAGTTATAAATACTTATAAAAAATGAATTACACTGACTTACACTTTATAGCCATGTTTATTATGCGTTATGAATTGTTAACATAATGCATTATAAGTAGTGTTAATAACATGTTATACATTGATAGTAGAGCGCTATCACTGTTATTTGTTTCCTCACTGGTCAAGCACTAGAAAGCTTCACTCTGTAAAATCACTACAGTACAGTATTGCTAATTTCAGCTAGCGTTCTATTGGATATGCAGTGTTAAGTTAGTGCCAAGCTAACGGTGGTGTACATTACCTTTCCCACATTGGGTAAAACACTGATGGCAGCTCTAGTTTAAACTCTGACATTTGAAGCCTGTAATGTGCTTTATTATGTATGTTTTAGTGTTTCAGTAAATTCTTCAGTAAATACTTCAACTTGAAGCCTCACTCTGAACACTGGAGGAGGCTTTAGTACAGTACGCTTCACTTTACTTAGAGCGGACAAATACGACTTATGAGCTCTTATAATTTGTTATGATCAGTACTTATAATGCATTATGTTAACAATTCATAATGCATAATCAGCATGGCTATAATGTGTAATGCATTTTTATAAATATTTATAGACATGTTTATGATGCCTTATAAATGCATTATAACATGTTATGAATGTGTTTATAGATGCTTACAAATGTGACATTCATAGAAAGTGTTACCACAGTAGTTTTCACAATCATATGTTTACATTCTAACTAACAGAATGTGAATTGGGTGCATTTTGATCAGTTGGATTGAGGCAAATTCACATAAATAAAACAAAGCAGAAAACACATTTAATGAGTCGCTGTGGGTCTTAAGAAAAGTTTTGTTCATTTGATGTTTGTTAATAACACTTTTAGAGATCAGCAGTGAGTAATGTTTGTTTATTTGATGTTTGTTAATAATGCCTTTAAAAGGCAGTGGTGAGGATTTTTTTATTTATTTTTTATTTTATTATTTTTTTAAGGTTTTTTTTAATGGCTTTAGACGGCAACAGTAAGCACTGTTTGTTTATTTTTTGTTTGTATAAGTATCAACAGCTAGGAAGCAAGATAATTGTTCAGCCATTGTTTTTGACATTTTAGGCTTTCATTTTAATAATTGTAAACAGTCAACAAAAACATGATTTAAATTGACAAATAAAATAATTTTTATGGCAAGTAATCGTCTGCGAAGTGACACACCTACCTACTTATTTATTCAGGAAAAAATTTAAAAAATCTGTTAAAAAAAGAAAAAAGTGATGAGCAGTTCTAGTGGCAAACAATATTTTTATGTTATATAAAAGGAAGCTATTTTGTTTATGTAAAATTCCAAAGGACTGTAAACTTTGTAAGATGATGCCATTATGCCAAAAAGCTTTGTTAATTAAAGGTTCCCACTGTGGCCCTTGGGGATGCCTAACCAGCCTACTTCTCTTCTTTGTTCTGTTTCAGCTCCCAACACACCTGAGCCAGGTAACCACAGGCTGTAGGTCACTGTTCACGTGGCTCAGGTGTGTTTGGAACTGTAATAGAGTAAAAAATGTGGGCTGGGGTGGGGCTTGGGAAACCCTCACCTAATTGAGCCGTCTCAAAATACACCTGCTACACCTGGGAATGGATAGCTAGGCTGGGAAACACTTTGTTAAGGGTGCTATTCAGAGAACTTTGCATTGATGTCCTATCAAAACCTCATCATAACATTTCATGACAAATGTCTATCAGAAATGGTCCAAAATTGCTTGGAATGAAATCATGTTACAACCCCTTTTCCAAAAAAGTTGGGACACTGTGCAGAATGTAAATAAAAATAGGATGGAATGATGTGCAAATAATGTAAAACATACTTTTAAAGGACAATACTACAAAGACAATATATTAAATGTTGAAACTGAGACATTTTATTGTTTTTTGTTTTTGTTTTTTTTTTAAATATATACCCATTTTGAATTTGATGCCAACAACGTGTTCCAAAAAAGTTGGGACGGGGGCCTGTTTACCACTGTGTTGCATCACCTCTTCTTTTAACAGCACTCTGTAAACGTTTGGGAACTGAGGAGACGCTGCTGTAGTTTTGAAAGAGAAATGTTTTCCCATTTTTGCTTAACATAGGATTTCAGCTGCTCATCAGTTCGGGGTCTCCTTTGTCGTATTTTTCATTTCACAATGCACCAAATGTTTTCAGTGGTGACAGGTTTGGACTGCAGGCAGGTCAGTTTAGCACCCAGACTATTTTAATATGGAGCAATGCTGTTGTAATACATGCAGAGTGTGGTTTGACACTGTCTTGCTGAAATAATCAAGGCCTTCCCTGAAAAAGACGTCATCTGGATGGCAGCATATGTTGCCAAAACATGTATATATCATTCAGCATTAATGGTGCCTTCACAGATGTGCACGTCACCCATGCCATGTGCACTAATGCCCCCCTATACCATCATGAATACTGGCTTTTGAACTGTGCACTGATAACAAGCTGAGTGGTCGTTAGCCCAGAGGACACAGTGTCCATGATTTCCAAAAATAATTTCAGTTGAGTTGTTGGCATCAAATTCAAAATTCAATTCAAATTAAAAAAACTGTAAATTTCTCAGTTTCATTTGATTTGTTGTCTTTTAAGTATTTTCAATGAAATATAGGGTTTCAATTATTTTCACATTGCATTTTGCATCCCAACTTTTTTGGAAATGGGGTTGTACATTAGCATAAATTTTTAAGAATGTCCTTCTGATGCAAAGTGACCACAGTGATGAAAAGTGTCATTGTAAATGAGTTTTATTCAGACTTATTAAGTAGTGTAATTCGGTTTTAATTATAGCTTTGAAACCTTCTCTGAATGCACTTTTCAGAGCATAGTTTTTGTAGTCTGAATACAGTGAGAACTAACTCTGTGTTTGTGTGTCTGCAGAGGTTGGAGGAGAGCGAGAGGAAGGCTCAGCACACAATAGAGCAGCTTCAGCGGGAGCAGAGGCACCTGCGCAGACGGCTGGAGCAGCTGGGAGTGGAACGCACGCGCATGGACAGCATGGGTTCCACTGTGTCATCGGACAAATCCGACTCTGACCAAGGTGCATAAACACACAGTCTTCCTATACACTCTCAGAAAAAAGGTAGTCTCTTGTCACTGGGGTGGTCCGCTCATGGGTACATCTCAGTACCTTTAGTCAGGGAACATAACCGAACCATAATCCACTGAAATGATATGTTCTAAGCTGTACTGACTCCACACACCCCGTCTCGCCTCCAGGCTTTTATTTTACTGTTCTGTTTTAAAACATTCGGTTATGAAAAGAAACAAATACGAACTTTTCACCTGGAAAAACTTATTTAAGGTTCACCATCAGACCTTAAAACCACTGTTGTACCTTTGAGGGAACATTTACATTGTTTGTACCTTGATGAATGAAAAATGTACCAGCACAGCACCTTTATTTGTAAGTGTTCAGACATACAGTGGCCCTAAAAAGTAGACGTGTGTCTGCCATACCATACACAGGAAACACAATGTCAAACCAAGTAGCGTTTCTTTTAAGCACCTCATTCCAATACTGTCATTTTCTTTTTGAAGTTATCTTTCAAAGAGCAGCTTGTTATTGTTTGAGCAGTTTCTCTGCAGACCTCTGCAGATTTGCATCCAAAGTGCTTTTGTACACGTCTAGTTCCTGTTCCTATCAATGAGCACAAACTTACTGACGCCACTGTAAGAGCAACAGTCCCAGACTTTGACCTCTCCACCTCTGTGCTTTACATCTAGCCTTAGGCTTTGTTCACACAGCAGGTAAAAGTGGCCCAAAAAAAGTGTTACATATATATATATATATATATATATATATATATATAACCCGTTTCAGAAAGGCTCTATATAGAACCATCTACAGCACAATCTCCATCAATCTGAAGAACTTTCACAAAGCAAAGAATCATGCAAAGGGTTCTTTGAGTGTTGATGGTTCTACATAGAACCATTTTCTTTACTAAAGAACCTTTTGAAGAACCATCGTTTTTAAGTGAGTGCTTTGCAAATGTTTTCAGCACATAAGAATATCCTGTTTATTTGAGCACAGTCATTTTTTGCTCATAAAAACACTAATATTAGAATAGAAAAATGTGACATTAATACAAAAAGTATTGATTTGGCAATTATGATATCACCATAATCAAAGACATTTTCATGGTACATATCACTATATTTTGACACGCAGACACAATGCACTGCATTTAAAAACTGCCGTCAAAAATCTGAAAAAGTCTCAAACTGATTTTTATTTCACATTTTCTCTTTAAAGAAACGTCAGTGTTCATTAAGTACGGATGTTATCCACAACATGAGCACAAAAGCATATTGTTCAACATGATAACAAAATTTATCACAATAACGATACAGTATTGTCATATTGCCCACCTCTGATCTCAGCTCCTGTTTTGAAGTTGGTGTTCCACAGCTGCAGCGTTGCTGCATTTTTGTTTGCATTTATTGTAATGTTACATGATGTTTTACATGTTATTGTTTCGATAAATACACAAATTTATATATCGCTGTTGTTGGAAGAAAACCTCTTATCTCCAAAATGTTAACTTTACAGGGGAAGGAAAATACTTTACTGTTAATGTAAGTCAATGGAACCAGAATTGTCTCCAAGTCATTTTGGGCCGTTTCTTTTAGTCCATTCAACATGAAATTTACACACAATATAAAGGACAACAGGCATTTTCAGATTGTCAAAAACTGAAAAATAACTGAACTAAAATGGAGGTACAAGGTTGTCTTCCAACAACAGCGAAATAATTTTTTTATATATATATATATATATTTGTGTGTGTGTATGTGTGTATATATATATACACACACACAGAGGCATGGACAGTATGGACTCCACCGTCTCACTGGACAAATCTGACTCTGGCATTTGACTGTGACGTCATCTTAAACAAATCAGACTTTGACAGACACACATACACAGACCCTCACTGTTTTCTTCAATCCCACATGCAGTAAAATACACACAAAACAGTCTGTAGCTCAGAGTTTGTATACATGAGACAGCCTATATACAGTAATGTATGCATGCCTTGGTGAGACAAGGCTGTAGACTGTGAACTTACTCTGAACAAATTCACTGTTTCTAACGCATACATTAAAGTTTCTAATGCATACATTAATTGTACTGATTCTAACGCATACGTTAATGTATATATGCTGTCTCACATGTACACACACACTATTCTACAGTCAGATCAGTCTTTTCACACATTTCCAGTTAAATTTATCACAGAATGTTTCCATCATTGAGGAACTGACGATACACGACTTTTCTATAAGCTGAGCTTCGAGCTGCAGACAGATGGATTTCCTAGGTGTGAATTCTACAATGTGTGAAATGTATGTTTGAGTCTTGGAATCCTTTATGGTATGTGATGCGATGCTAATGGAACATCGCTAAGTAGCGATCTGCTTTGGTAATATTGGCTCAGAAACTGATTTCTGGAGCTTTAGAGGAAATTTAATTAGAAACTAGTTGGCTTTGTTCACAGCTTTGTTCACACACCTTCTACATAGTTGTAGTATAAGAAGAGCTGTATGATTGTAGGAGGAAAACCTGGGCTGGAGTTCTGGGTGGCTTCTGCTTTAAGCAAGAAGGCAGCCCCCCTTTTAATGAACAAATGTAGGACTGAGAGACAGGACTGAGGAACAGGGAAGAGAGGAGGTGGTGGGGTACAAAAACTTCATCATAGGAAACAGAAGCTAGAGATGGACGTCTGTAGGGTGTTGGATTGGAATCAGCTTGGTCCTCCTCCCACGCTTAAGTTGCATGTCTGATTTTAATTTAATCTGATATCACATACAAGTGTGGATTGAGTCCAACCGGGTTATTCTCACAAAAATGTGAAATAGAGGGACCTAAATTGAGAAAAAATGAAAATCACAAAAAAAACTATCATATCTTTTTTTTTTTTGCGCAAACAAACAAGGATGCCTGGATGAGTAATTAGAAATTTAAATGGACTTTCAGTAACTTTAAAGTTAAGCTGCCAGATTTCTTATTTCCACAATACAGTAAGATTTGTAGATGAACAAAACAAATGATTTTCTTCCCCCTCAACTTTTCATAGACTGTGTACTATTATCAGAGTATTTTAATGCTAATTATTGATATATAATATATATAGTACAAAATATAATATTTTAATATAATATATAAAAACCACTGCGGATTTTACTTTTTACTTGTGCCACATAACACTTAGTTCACTTCCTTAGAGCTCACAAAGAAAACAAAGTGAATGTATTCAACAGTTAAAAGTAATAAACTCATTTTTTTCACTTTTCAAAAAAGGGAAAAATTGGTAAATATCAGTAGTGAGAAACAGATATTTGGACACATTGCGTTAATAAGAATTTTGGTTAAAAAATTATAAAATAGAAACGAATCATTTAACTTTTTGCTGTACCGTCTGAACTAGTAAATCTCATGAATATTGTTTATCTGCATTATGATTGACACTTAAATATTTATAGACATAGTTTGAATCAGTTTTATGAGAAAAACCCAACAGGAAAAAGTCAGATTTTGTGTGGCTTTTTGCTGTTTTTCTCTTGTCCATTAAACATTTCAGGCAATCAGAGGAGGAAAAGATTGCAACTAGATTTAAACTTATTTGATGCTCATATTAATTTCTATATGTACTTGTGTGTTACAGAAGAGCTGGACGTGGACGTAGAAGGTACAGACTACCTGCTGGGGGACCTGGAGTGGAGCACCAGCAGTGTGAGTGACTCAGATGAGCGAGGCAGTCTGCGGAGCAGCTGCAGCGATGAGGGCTACTCCAGCGCCAGCCTTCGCCGCCTTGGCACCACTCAGGAGAAGAGCCCTGCGCTGGGCTGCAGTCTATAAGAGCACATCCTCTCCTCCTCCGCCTCCCCAGGCCTCCACCTGCCCACATTGCCCACCTCACCTCAACACTCCGCTTACCTCCCAGCCACCTACAGCCAGGCAGAGCTGGTTTAGTACCTTGAATAAGCTTTCTCTCTTGTCCGGGATTGGATGGGTGAATCAAGAACTGTCCTTGTCTCGGCAGGTTGTGTCCTCTGATGTTCGTCGAAGTAAGACCACTGATCTAGGTTCAGTTTTTGCACCATGTGTCCTTACTAATACAGTGATACTGGCTGAGAGGAGCTTGACCATAGATCAGTGCTCTTACTATCAGATACCCGATGCATAAGAACCCAGGACTTGTTCCGAAAACCTCAATGGCTTTCTCTCCTTTGCGAGAGAGAGTATTTCAAATGAAAGAAAGAAGACTGGAAGGATAAAAGCAGGATGATCGCTGTCCACTGCTGTCTCTTCTTAGAAAGAGTATGAAGAGCAGAAATCAATGGGAGGAAGATTAGAGAGAGCACAGGAGTGAACCTGCAGTTTCTGCCAACCACACCTCATATATCCAGCGCAAATTTGGCCGGGCAGAGCCAGCAGAACCCCTTTCATCACTGATACGCCTCCTGATACGACCTTGTCAAGTCCCCTCAAGTCTTCACTCTGCACCGTCCAATCAGCAGTAGAGGGGCAGAGAATTACTGCCTGCTGTCGTCCGATCAGACCTTCCTTCCCTTTCGTTGCCCCTACCTCGCCATCATCCTGTCCAGTGACGGAGAGAGGCTCTTGCTCTTGTCCATCCCTCTTAAAAGCTCTTAAAAAGGGCTGAACCTTTGAACACCCCTGAAAGTGGTGTGCATCATACCAGAGAATGTGTATCATACCACACCCACTGCCTACTCAACTCCTCTCTGGGCCAATCGTACGCAGTCCGTCTGTCACCGCCTTCCATTCTCCTCCAATCAGACTGGACCGTCCAGACACAGGGCTAGGTCACCTGACCGGTCAGCTGACCTATCAGAGCATGGAATTTTGCACTTCAGAGTAACCTGTTGGTGCAAGCTGCCTCTTGCCGCAGATCTGAGAGCAGTATTATTGTTCGTGACCGTTCTGAGATCAGTGAGAAAAGGGCTGCTTCTACCAAGAGCTCAGATCACACAGCAGGAACGTTTTCGGGTCAGGAATAAAAACGACAAAAACGAAAAAAAAAAAACAAAAGGTGTGCGGGCATGTCATCGTTATCGTCATCGTCGTTGGTTTTATTTTTTTATTTTAATTTTTTTCCCCTCTTCAGAGGGACTGCAGCTACTCTAGTTCTGTATCAGGTGTAGTCTTTTAGCTAGTCTTAAGAAATATCTTCCTGCACTGTCCAACGTCCACCCCCACCTCTCTGGACTGGGAGCCATGGGACATTTACCAAGCACTGGTGTGATGTCATTCTTCTCAGCAACTACTACTACGACTACAGTTCTCCGGGGAATTTGTGGAAGATGCCTTTTATACAGATGTGAGGTCTTTTGAAATGTCTTATAAATTAAAGCATAGTTTAATCAAACATTGCTGATGTGGCTTAACGGGAACTAATAGGCCTGTCACGATTAATCCTTATATAAAAATTTGGCTTATCAGTTGAATTTTTCTTTTTTGTTTATTTTTTTTGCAACCAAAGCTTAAATATTTCTGTTGAAACTGTGAAAATGTGAGGGAAAAACACTTTTTCTGCAAGCGTACATGCTAAAACATTCCCCAAATGTGTTATAGCACACATTTTATTGATATTATGTGGCTCAAAGCAGCTGCTGACAACTCATCCGGCTCACATCGTGCTTGTTGTGATGCAATATGATTGAGAAATCTAATGACTGTGGAAAATAATTGCAGTCAGGTTAAATAATAGCGATCAGGCGGTTATGTAATAATTGTGACAGGCCTTACAATGAATGTTGCCATGCATTCACTCATGGTCAGCCATGTTAGCCTTGTTTGGTCGAACTAGACTCTTAATATTGGTCCTGGAGGGCCAGTGTCCAGTTTGATGATTTAACTCCTTAAATCTTCTCAACTGCATGGTGCTGTATGCGGGCCCTCCTGGACCGGAACTGAACACACCTGGTCTGGTCCAATGAGGTCAGGACTGGTGTTAAAAGGGAATTCCAGATGACCATTTTCTGCATAATTAAGTCATTAAGATGTAAACAATATGATCCATTCAGAGAGGTTTGTTTTGAAATGTGCTGTTCTAGGGAAACGACCGAATTGTTCACAGTGGTGGTGATAGGAACCAGACGTCCCAAGTGTTTACCGCTATTTTACCATCATCAGTGTTACATATAACAACTCAGAAGACACGTGTAGGTGCACTGGATGGTAAATAAAATGTCTATGTTTATGTTGTAGTCATGGTGACCCCTGGTTCCTGTCACCACCACTGTAAAGACATCTGAGTCAGTTTCGCTATGATGAGCCATTTCACATCTAACCACCCTGAATGACTCTGTTTACGTCTCGACAAGTGAATTATGCAGAAAGCTTGAAAAATCAGTGTCGGAGTGGAGCTGCTCTCATGTTGGTATACAGGCATCTTCTATCTAGAATGTTATAAGTGTCAGGCAGTGGGGCAGCAGTAAAACATCCTTCAGCTGGACTTTGCAGCGGGCGCCCATGGACGACACGTCCATCAGGCGTCCAACCAAGGAGCGGATGTTATGGTTTCTTTTCTCACCCTGACTCGGTGCTTTTAACGCCCTCGACCTTTCCACCCTGATTCTTTTTTCCTTTCTCAAGGGCAGTAAAAGAACTGAAGACGCTGTGTTGTTGTGAGGAACATATTGCAGCATGAGATTGTGCGGGTGGGGGCTTTTGGGTGGGGGGGTTTGGAGGGTTGTGGGTGGATGAAATTTAGAATGCAGGTTGTTCCATCTCTTCCTCTCTCTCTAAGGACAGTGGCGTTTGATGCACCCTCGCGCGTGTGGGCGTTTGTGTTCCTTCTGCTTGGCTGTTTTTGGTCCGAATCCTCCGAAAGGAGGAGGATAGAAAGGAATAAGTGAGTGATAAAGGCAAGTAAGCACATTCCACAGCAGAGTAGGAAGGTACCACGGTTAGCAGCACCATGAGGAGCGCCTGCTTGGAATTGTGGGACGAGGCGCTGGGGCTGACGACCTCGGCCTCGGCTCAACGTAGCCCGGTTCGTCCGTCCTTCACAGCTGCGACGCTGCACTGCGGTTTCAGGCTCCCGTGCAAGCGTCCGTCTGTTTATCCTTTCAGCTAAACAGTTTGTCATTCTATGTACATAGTTTACAGAAAGAAATCTATATGTATAACAAAGTATTTATTTAATCGAAATATATGTCAAAGCATAGATATATATACAGAGGAAAATATATTTAAGTAGTGGCTTCAGTTATCCTTGTGGGTTTTGTTTTTCTGTAGTAGTTCATTTGCACACAGTAGTGGTTATACATGGTTTTAGAGCTATATTGTACCTTAGCCTATTTGTGTACATCCTAAAATATAACGTTGCGCTCTTAGAACTTGTGTTTTGGACATTTTTCGCTGTTTCAGAAGGTAATTTATTTGCACCTATGGAAAAAATACGTAATATATATTAACAGAAAAACTCATACGCAGGAAAAAAGTGCAAAAAAATGTAAGAAAATGGAAGAGGAAGTCGTTTTGTGGTACGAAACAGTAGTGAGAGTAAAAGTACTGTCATTTCTGTGCCTAGAGGCTCTGAAGAAAGCTTTCGTGATGTTTTTCCCGTCACGCTAACGACGGAAGAAACGGCGGACGCCGTATTCGGAGCTAGCGGAGAGATTTGGAGGATTTTGGTGTCTGAATGTAGTTTTTAGAGGAGATATTAAACTCTTTCTTATTTTATTAGCGCAGCTCGTGACCTGCGAACGACATTATTTTGAATTACTTGAATAAAATGCACCAAAAAAAGAAACAAATGAATAAATTTAAAACAAAAAAAAAAAAAGTAGGATTATTCATTCTTAATATGTGGAATGCTGCTCCTAATGTTTTTTGAATCCCTCCTTTCCCCCATAAAAGAGAAAAGGTAGCATGAGAAGATGTAGCTGTGAGAGAAGTGAAGTGGTTGTTAGTGGAGCACCGTTCGGGGAAAAGGTTCAGATATGTGTGTTTGGTTCGCTTGTGTCGTCACTGTCCACAGACAGAGAGAAAGGGTTCGGACCGGGTGGGTTTGGTGGGGGAGGGGGTGGCGGTGTTGGTTTATTTCAAGCTATTTGTATGGATATGCTTTTGTCTTGTTTTTATTTGTTATAAGTAGGTGCGAACTAAAAGTCCATTTCCTTCCCAAGATTGTCTTGTTAAGAACTGATGTAATCGTTCTCTACGAAACACACACACACACACACACACACACACAGACAGACACACACACACACAGACAAGCTCACTCACACACAAGTAAACCCTGCCTTCTTCTGGCCCATTTCTCCTTTCTCTTTTAACGTCTGAGTGTGGCTAGTCTCTCTGCCTTCTACAATCGGGAAGCTCCAGCATTTTTCAACCTAATCTCTATCTGTCAATTACCATGGACAATTTCCCTGTACTTACAAAACAAAAACGTTGACCTACGTTGAAACGCTTGTAATAGTGCCAGTGACGCTCATTCCAAATACGATGCCTGTGACACGTTCCCAAAAGGTTGGGACTGGATCATGTTTCCCACTGTGATGCATCACCTCTTCGTTTAATAGCATTTAATAATCGTTTGCCAACTGAAGACATCAGTTGATCCAGTTTTGAAAGACTCAAGTTATTCAAGTCTTCAGCTGTGCAACTGTGAGAGGCCTTTGTTGTCCTATTTTGCACTACATAATATTTTTTTTAGTTGGAGACAGGTCTGGACTGCCGGCAGGTCAGTCTTAGCACCTGCACTCTTTCAACATGCAGCCATGCTTTTGTAACATATCACTGTTTTTGGAAGAAAACCTTATATCTCCAAAATGGTGACTTCACAGGAGAAGGAAAAGACATACTTTACTTTTAAAGTAAGTCAATGGAACCAGACATTTTTCCATTTTCATTTTGGGCTGTTTCTTTTGGTCCATTCTTCACTCAGTGTAAAGGGCAACTGGCATTTTTTAATGGGTGTTGGGTGTTGTCCTTCTGTAATAAGCATGGAGGTCCCTAAAAAAGACATGGCCTTGATGGCAGCATCTGTTTCTCCAAAATGTGTATGTATCTTTCAGCATTAATGGTCCCTTCACAGATGTGTGGGTAACTTTCTAACTTCCCCAATATCCCCCCATACCATGACAGACCGTGCGTTTGAACTGCTGGGAACAGTCTGGACAGTCCTCCTTCCAGTAATCAGTTTGAAAAGTTGACGACTCAGACTACGTTTCCACTGTGCTTCAGTCCATTTCAGATGAGCTCTGGCCCAGAGAAGTCGGCGGCGTTTCCGAATGTCCTTGACCACTTTGCATAGTACATCAACAAACGTGTTTATTGACCGTGGTTTGTAAAAGCATTCCCGAGCCCATGCGGTGATATCCACCACAGAGGCTTGTCAGTTTTTAATGCAGTGCCGTCTGAGGGGTCGAAAGCCACGGGCATTTAGTTGTGGTTTTCAGCTTTGTGCTTTTATGCACCAAGATTTCTCAAGATCCCCTGAATCTCTTGATGATGATATGCACTATGGAGGGTGAAATACCTAAAATCTTACCGGAAATGTTTTGGTAAAGTGGCAAGCCTCGGTCCTCTTAAAGGCCTTTTCTGGACGCTCTTTATGCTGAAGCATGATTGCATCACCTGTTTAAGATTATCATTTTACAATGTTCTTAGTCTTAAATTGCCCCTGTCCCACGTTTTTTGGGGGGAGAAAGAAGCATCTGCTTCAGTTGATGAATATTTTTTTCGGTTCTTTTCTGGCTTCTGCTTCAGCTCAGTGTTTTTTTTTTTCCTGTTCTTTCCAAGTACAGGCAAATGTATCAAAATTGTTTGCCCAATGGAGCTCAACCCTGCACTACCATGTGCTATAACTTCAGCAGGGCTAAACAATGTTTAAAGCGTCAATCCTAGTGATTTTTAAGTTAATTCATATTGGTTTGTTCTGAGGGCTTATTTTTCTCCTCTAATTGTATTTTAAGGGGTAAAAATGTCGAATATGCCAGCATTTTTTGGTTTCATTCTGCTTTGCTTCTTTACAAATCTGGCAGATCGAGATCAGGTTGAAAAAGCTGGAGTATTCCCTGAAACACCAGTAGAGAGAGACGGCCAAATTGGTGCACTCTGGAACATTCTGTGAAAGACTAAAGGGGGTGCGTTCCAGTAACGCAGGTTTCACTCCCATCTGTGCAGATTCACGAATCATAAAATTGTCATTTGCCTGAAATGCACAGGATTTGCACAACGTCTGTGCCACTGGAGCGCACCCCCGGGTGCTGTCACGCGCTCGCGGAGTCATCCTCGAGAACAAAACCCTTAATGTAACCCTGTGCCACCGTCATCGCTGCGACTCATGTCAGGGGCCGTGATGGGACGTTGTATGCTACTTTGATTTGTATATACGGGGTTGTGAACTCTATGGAGAATACCAAATGGCTAAAGCCTTAAAGACATACAGATGTATGGACACAACAGATCTCATTGTGAAGTGTATACAAACAATAATGATCTGTTTGAAAATCACAAAAGAAACGTTGCTAATCATTCCCACTGATTGTGACTGTGTCTCAGGTGTGTTCTCATAGACACACGTACATAGGCTCTCAAACCTGCTGCCTCTAGGA